GCCTCCCCCAAGGCTGTGTACTGGCAGGGGGGATGCCTTCCCCAAGGCTGTGTACTGGCAGGGGGGATGCCTTCCCCAAGGCTGTGTACTGGCAGGTGGGATGCCTTCCCCAAGGCTGTGTACTGGCAGGGGGGATGCCTCTCCCAAGGCTGTGTACTGGCAGGGGGGATGCCTTCCCCAAGGCTGTGTACTGGCAGGGGAGACCTAGATAGTGACTCAGCAAGGTTAACTGACAGCAAGTGTTCAGCATATGACACATGCCCAGGATGCATTTAAGTTCATTGGTCAATAATGGCAGAGCCAGGACAGGTCTCCATTCTCCAAGCAGTCCTTCCCTTCTCTTTCTAAGTCCCTGCCCAGCTCTGTGACCAAGAGGCTCACTTCTCTGCTCTCAGTTTCCCCAACTGTAAAATGAACAGATTTGAGGATAACTTTGGAGGTTCTCACTACTCTAGGCCATATGGGGTCTGTTGTCACTACTCAACTGTATAGTATAACACAAAAGCAGCCACAGACAATACAGAAATGAATGAGTCTGGGGGTGTTCCAATAAAGCTTTATCGTGGACAGTGAAACTTGAATTTTATATAATTTTCATATTTTACAGAATATTATCCTACCTTTTTTCTTTTGAGACAGAATCTCACTCTGTCACCCTGGGTCAAGTGCTATAACATCATAGCTCACAGCAACCTCAAACTCTTGCGCTCAAGCAATCCTCTTGCCTCAGCTTCCCAAGTAGCTGGAACTATAGGCACCTGCCACAACGCCCAGCTAGTTTTTCCATTTCTGTTAGTCTCGTCACAGAGTATCATTCTTGTTCAGCCTGGTCTCTACCTCCTGAGCTCAAGCAATCCACCCACCTTGGCCTCCTAGAGTGCTAGAATTATAGGCGTGAGCCACCCCACCTGGCCTATTTTTTATTTTTATTCTTTCAATTATTTAAAAATGTAAAAATCAGACCAGATGTGATGGCTCATACCTGTAATCCTACCACTCTGGGAGGCCAAGACAGGTGAATTGCTTGAGCTCAGGAGTTCAAGACCAGACTGAACAAGAGGGAGACCCTGTCTCTAAAAATAGCTGGGCCCTGTGGCAGGCACCTATAGTCCCAGCTACTTGGGAGGCTGAAGCAGGAGAATCACTTGAGCCCAACACTGGAGGTTGCAGTGAGCAATGACATCACAGCACTCTACCCAAAAGGACAACGTGAGACTATGTCTCACAAAAAAAAGTAAAAACTGTTCTTAACTGTCAGGTTTTACAAATGTAGGTTGGGCCAGATGTAATCCATGGGCCCTAATTTGCCCAGCCATTCTCTTGAAGGCTATGATTTTAAGAGGGATTAACCCTTAGAGTTGGCATCTGCTGGGAAAATGGGCATCAAAGACCCCATTATTGGCAAAGGAAAGCACCCCTAGAAAAAGAGGAAAACTAAAAAAGTAGGCTGAGTGAGTCAGAACAAAGGAAAGTCAGCTAGTTTACACTTAAGCTGGCCATTGCCAGCAAGCTTCCTGCCCTTTCTGAAATTCTACCCTGTGGAGGATATAGCTTACAAACACCCTGCTGGATGTGTGAGCACTCTGAGGAAAATAATGGCCATAGAAGAGACTGTGGCAAGTCCTAGAAAAAGACACAACTTCCAGGGCATTTCCTGCAAGATGAAATCAAATAGGCAAAGCAGATACCCACTGTGGGGATGTGCATTTGCCTGGGGCAGAGTCGAGCCCTAAGATATGAGCAGAAGAGCTTACATCCCTTATTGCAGAGGAAGATCCTCTGTGGTGGTGATGGGAGGAAAACTCCTCTGTCCCACAGATTCCTCAGAGGATATTAAAGCCAGTGGCATTTTACTCCACAGGGAACTAGCAGAGTTTAATACCTCCCTAGAGATCTGTGTGTGTGAGGGCGGAGCCTGTGGCTCAGTGGGTAGGGCGCCGGCCCCATATACCAAGGGTGGCAGGATCAAGCCCGGCCCCAGCCAATCTGCAACAAATGAACAGCCAGGCATTGTGACAGGTGCCTATAGTCCCAGATACTTGGGAGGCTTAGGCAATTGCCTAAGTTGAATGTTGCTGTGAGCTGTGATGCCACAGCACTCTACTGAGGATGATAAGGTGAGACTCTGTCTCTAAAAAAAAAGAAAAGAAATCTGTGTGTGTGAGACCTCAAGCAGGAGGCTCTCCCAATACAAGGCTCAGATTTCAGATTTCTCAAGGCTACCCTTAGATTAATAATAACAATAGAAGCTGATATGATCAATCAGAGAAACTGCTGGCATCTGTGTTCCCTCCTTCATCTTACCCTCTGGGCAAACAGACTTCAATAAAATCAGAGTGAAGTAAACACTCTGGGCCACTGCTGGAAGCCTATAGATGAGCAATGGACCCCTGAACTCCTATCTTTAATTGTACTCTAAGCCTCATGTCTCTTTTTTTATCGTCATTTCCAACTTTATAATTTTTATTCTTTAGTCAATGGCAGCCAGTTTCCAGAGGTCTTAGTGGACCCTGCTCCCAGGGCAGGACCCTAACAGGCATCAGAAAGTCTCTGGTGGCTCGGCGCCTGTGGCTCAAGCGGCTAAGGCGCCAGCCACATACACCTAAGGTGGC